TGGCCAGGCGAGGGGGTGGGGGCCACCAGCCCCACGGGGAGCAGGGCGGGGCTGTGCCCAGGGCCTGCCTCCACCCCCACCCCCACACTGGGAGCTGGGACCTGCCCCCTGGGGTTGCGAGGGGGGGGGATGGGCGCACAAGCCGGGACTTCCTAGCTGTTGTGCCTCCCCACCCTGCTCCGCCCCCTCCACCCCTGCTAACCCTCAGGCTTCAGTTCGCCCCAGGCTTGGTGTCTTTCTAGAATGTACATCTGAGTGGCTCACTCTCCCCTTGAACATCCTTCCCTGCTGCCCAGAGCTCTCTTAAGGTCAGGTTCATCTTCTTGGCTCGGCATTCAGGGCCCTTGGCCCGTGGCCACCATGTGTGTCCCTCTCCGCGCACGCACACCTGTGCCTTGTTCTCGCAAAGGGCAGCTCGTTCCAAAAGTGTCCCTGCTGTTCCCTCCGCCCACAATGCCTTTCCAGCTCCTATGCACCATTCAGATGCAGTCTGGTGGTCTTTCTCAGGAGGGGACGTCTCCGGGGTGCCCTGGCCCAGGGATTCCCTCTTCTTAGCCTCTGGCTCCGCGGCACCCAGCCTGAGGCATGAGGCAGTGCAGGGGGGCAGAGAGCAGCCAAGACAGAAAGGAGGGGTGATGGGGAGACGAGCAGGCAAGAGGAGGTACAGGCGGGGCTGCAGGAGGGTAGGGGGCCCCAGAGAATGTGACAGGCCCGGGGACGGTCTGAACGGAAAGGGGCCGGGTCCCTCCTTCTGGCCAGGGCACCTTGAGGTCCCACCTGGCGCCCACTCTTGGGCTCCAGCAAGAGCCTGGCCCCAGTGAGTCCTGGGGGGAGGGGCCCCACCTTGCTCTCCCTGAATCTGGGATCCCAGGGTCTACACCTGCTACTCCAGCTACACCGGTGGGATGCCAGCTCCCAGGGCAGGGAACGTGCCGCCCCCCGTGGGCTCCGTGGCTGAGCTGGGCCAGGAGGTGTGGGCCTTGGGACAGGGGGGCCTGTGGGACAGGGAGGAAGGGGGGCAGGCAGGCAGGCGGGTGGTGGCCCGGGGACCTGGTACCTGTGTGAAGGGGTGGGGCGCGGAGGCTCAGGGCAGACGCAGGTGAGGGACCCTGGGGGGGCACCGTGTGGAGATGCATCCAGGACTCCTCCCCGGTCCGGCTACACGGACAAGCACCCTGATTGGCCCAGCCTGTGGCCCCTCCTGCCTCCCCCTCCGCAGGCCCCTGCACCCCTGCGGGCTCCCCTTGCTCCCCTTCCACTGCTCAGCGCTGAGGGCACGGCCTGGGGGAGAGGGCCTGGCTGGCGGGCCAGGAATGTTTTGCAGCCAGTGTAAACAGATCGTTTCTGTCTGCCTGGGGGGGTGGGGGGGGGGAGTTGTCTCGAGCTTTGTTATGTTCTGAAAAAAAAGGCAAAAAATTTGGGTCACAAACCACAAACTGTTTTGCTTTCGGCGTAACTGGCATAAACAGGCATTTTCTGTTTGGTTCCCGGCCGGCTGAGGCCCGGGCCGGCTGGGGCTGGGAACAGGGAGAGAGGCTGGGGGCTGCTGGGAAGCCTGAGGCCGCCATCCCCCCTGCATGGCCCCCCGACCTGGGCACACGTGTGAGGGGGCACCAGCTGCGTGCGGGGCCCAGGTGGGGTGGAGTGAGGACCCTGGGAGCCGCAACCGGCCAGGCAGGCAGACACAGGTTGCTGGGGTTGAGGCCCGGGGGCCAGAGCCAGGCGGGCGGTCCAAGGCGGCGAGGCCTCCAGGAAGCAGAGGGAGAGCAGGCGGGTGAGGGGCCCCCAAAGGCGGGCGTGATGGAGCCCTTCCGGGCCTTGCTGGCCAGCTCTGCGCTGAGCCTGCCCCACGCGGGTGGCCACGATGGAGCACCTGCCTCCCTGCTCATCTGGGCAGGGGGAGGCGGCCGGCCGCACAGAGCAGCGGCAGGGGTGCTGAAGGGGCGTGGCTACCAGGGTAGGAGCAGATACCAAAGGGCTGAGGAGATCGCAGCTGGCATGTGTAAAGGAGAAGCTGGGGGTGGGGGTGAGGGGAGGTTTGCTGCGTGACCGAAGAACTATGGGTGCCAGGAGCTGGAGACCCCGGGAGAGCTTGGCCTCGGGTTTGCACTCTACCCAGTGGCCCATGGGGGCCATGCAGGGTCCTGAGGGGAGAGTGGTGTCCTGCAGGCTGGGAGAGCACATGGAGGGTAGCCGCGTCGGAGACTGGAGCTGGGCAGCGGTGGCGTCCGGTGGCTGGAGGAGCCATGGGCCTGGTCCACCATCTCGTCCACCAGACATGGGGTCGGGGGAGGGCAGGGGAGCCTGGGGTGGGTGAGCAGTGGCCATGAGCGCACTGGTCAGGGCTCTGCAGCACACTGAGGGAGCTCAGCAGGCCAGAGCAGGTGCCATTTTGCAGCTTGGTGAGAATGCCAGATGGAGACCAGAGTGGGGCCAGCAGCCCAGAGAGTAAGTCTGCGTCTCCAGCTTAGCAAATGGCACCCCTCCTTCCGAACCCTCACGGCCAGGATCCAGCGTCCCCTCTGCATCCAGCCTGTAGTTGAGCGACACGCAAGCACGGATTGTCCTCATGAGAGCACTGAGGACAGGATTCCCTGAGTGGGTGCCGCGACATAGTTTCGTGTAAGGAGTGACCCGGGCAGGTGTCTGCAGGGAGCATGTGCCAAGGCCCTGAGGCAGGAACATGCTTGTGAGTCGCCCAGATGCAGAGTCATCATGAGGATGTTGCTTGTTTCCAGGGGACTAAGGCGCAGAAGCGGGCCTGGTCTCATGCTGTAAAAGGCCATCTGGGCCCCACAAGTTGGGGGCCAAGCTGAGCACAAACCTCCGGAGGCAGGCGCTCGGGCACGGCCTGGGCGGTGGCTCGGCCGGTGGGGGCTCCCCCGGGGCGGGCTCGGCCACCCGCCGTGCTCGTTGCAGCATCCTCAGCACAGGGACGGGGACCGAGTCAGGGCAGGTGTCTCCTCATGTAATTTTCCTAAGTGACCACAAGCTGGGCTGCTCAGAGGACGGAAGCCACTCTCTCCCGATTCTGGAGGCCAGAGTCCAAAGTCAGCTTCTCCAGACTGAAGTGTCCCAGGGCCGAGACCCCCCAGCTCCTGGGCTCCACCGCCCCCCCGCCTGTCCGCCCCTCCCTTCTCCCACATGGGCACCTGTGGATGGACGGAGGCTCACCCCAAGTCCCGGATGAGCTTGTCCTTCACGGACACCTGCTCCAGGGGTCAGGATGTGGGCACATGTTTTGGGGGGGCCTGTGCTCAGCCCACTGCTGAGGGAATCCGTAAATGCTGGTTGAATGAGTGACAGTGGTCTGCTGCTGACCTCATCTCTCACACTGGCCCCTCTTCCTGCTGCAGCCTGGCCTCCCTCCCTGACCCCGGACTCCCCAAGTCCCTCTCCACTCCTCCTTCCAGAAGAGCCCCATGCTCCCCACCTCCTCCAGGCCTGCACTCCAAAGTGACTTTCTCCACGGGACCTCAACATTTCTCTCCGGGACACTGAGCCTTGGGGTGCCCTGCAAATGAAAATGCTGGTTCACATGTATGAACGAATGAATGAATGAATGAATGAATGAAGCCCCAGGATGAGCTGAGAGTTTACAGCGCAGGGGAGGGGAAATAAGCAGAGCCGGGCAGCCCAGCACACCTGGGGTTCAGCTGGCCAAGCAGATTGGGGTGCGGGCTGCATCAGCCCTGGGGGTGGAAGGGGGCGGGGCTAACGCAGGGGCACTGCTGGAGCTCAGGGGAGGTCAAGGGGGTCTCGGGAGGGGTGCAGGGGGGCTGGGCTGCAGTGAGGGACAGGAGGCGGCAAGGGAGGGCCTGGGGTGTGGGGGAGGGCAGCTGGAGAGGGCCTGGGCTGCCCAGAGCCAGGAGGAGAGGAGGCCCTGAGCCCAGCGCCCCGAGGGTCCCGGAGGGGGAGGTGGTGAACGAGGCAGGGCTGCAGGGAATCTTCGGGGGCGGGTGGGAAACAGGCTCTGACCTGGTCTCCGGGGTAGGCGGGACGGGCAGGATGTGCCTGTGCTGCTGGGCCCTGGGCCCTCTGCCCCACCTGGGCCCCCAGCCTCGCCTCCGTCAGCCCCCAAGGTGGGCATGGTGATCCCCACCCAACTTGCTCTTTTCCTCATCCTTGGAAGCTGGTTCTGCCTCCTCCAGGCAGCCCCCTGGTCCCTCTGCTTAGAGAGCTCACGAGCGTGGGCACACTCGAGACCGTGGAGGACAGGCTTTGAGCCTGTTAGGGCCCAGCACCAGGCCAGGAACTACCAGAAATGGAAAGAAGGGTGGGCTGCAGGGCGGGAGGCCTTCCCCCAACCCAGGCAGGCCTGAGAGCCCTGGGCCTGCAGCCGAATGCTGCCCGCCCCTGCCGCCCCTCTGCCCACAACGGCACGCCTTTGCACCCAGGGCTTGGGGGCGGGCAGGGAGGCGACCGGCCGAGGCCTCAAGCAACACGGATGCCAGCTTTGCTACCTTCTTACCAGCCCAGGGACCCTAAGGTAAGAGGCCAGAGCAATCAGGGCGCGTGGCGCAGGGCTGAGGAGGAGGCATCTGCTGTGGCCTCTGTCTTGGGGGAGTGTGAGCCTGTGTGCGCACAGCCGGGCAGGCAGGTGACACGCATCCCCCCATCTCCAGCAACAGCTAGTTTCCAGAACTTTTTGGAACCCAGTGGGCCCCTGGCACGCACCCCCAGGCTGGAAGAGGTCCCTGGGGCTGGCAGGGAAGACACTTCCCTTCTCCTCAGTGGCCCCTGCAAGCCCTCCCCTCAGAGCCAGTCCTCACAGCAGGGCACGCCATCTCTGAGGATGGGGCACCGAGAGGGTCCCAGGGCCCCGGCCCCATGCAGAAGGGCACGGTTGCCGCCGAAAGCCTGCAGGCTTCCAGGCTGCCCTGACTTGGCATCTGAGCTGCGGTGGAGCAGAGGGGCGTCCGCACCCCCAGCGGCCCCCCTCCCTCGGCCCCGTCCTCGACCCCGTGCACCAGCGAAGGAACAGAGGACTCAGAACAAGGTGAATTTGAATGATTTATTGGGATTGCAAGCGATAAACGTTAAAGACAAAACCCAAGCAATGAGTTTTGCCAGAAATATCAGCATGTTAAAGGGGTCGAGTGGAGGCCGGCACCAGCCAGTGCCAGATGGACCAGGGCAGCAGGCGAGATGAATCCGGTGCTCAGCGCGTGGGGGTCTTCAGGTGATGGCACGGGGGGACCCAAGAGGGGGTCCTGCTGAAGACAGTGGGTGAGGGAGAAAAGATGGACAGCCACAGCAGGGGCTCAGGAGGTCAGATGGGGGGCCCGGGTCAGGATGGCTGAGGACCCTCGGAGAGCTGCTCACAGGGGGACACAGAGGAGCGTTAGCAGGCGGCCCTGGAGCGCCCATCCCGAAGGAGGCAGAACGTAACACTGGGCGGGATGGGCGTCCGGCAGGACGGGCGGACAATTTAGGGTGCCTCCGAGTCTTTTTGGATCTCAGGCCAATCTGGGTCCCAATTACAACAATTTGGCTCTTTGGGTTTCTATCCAATGGTCCGAATGGCCCATTCCCCGGACGCCTGCCAAAGGGCCCTCTGTGCCTCTGGCGGACTGGCACGGACCGCCCCCAGGGTCGTGCCCGCCCTGTCACCGGGGCCCAGAAGCCTCAGGCCTCTAGAATGCTAGTCGGGCTGTCGTTCAGGGGGACTGCACTGGAGGCAGAAGCGGGGGTGAGGTAAACCTCCAGCCGCCCGGGTCCCTGACACAGCCCTAGGCGCCGAGATGGTGGCTGCTTCGGTGTCGCCAGACCCTCGGGCCTCGGGGCCCAAGCAACCCCAGTCGATGGACCTTTCTGCCGGCTCTCTTGCTCTGCGGGGCCTGCACCCTCCTGACCTCCCCACTTCCCGGACCTCAACCCTGCCTGGCCCCCAGGATGCCCCGCGGAGCTCCGAGCTTCCTGAGGACAAGACAGGGTGCTGAGGAGGCGGGCAAGGTGTCACCGAGGGGTGGGGGGAGGGCTCCCCAAGTGCAAGGAAGGCGGCCACGTGCTCCAGCCCGATGGAGCCCCTCTACTCACACACCTGCAACCCCTTCCCCCCTGGCCGGCCCGAGCCAGCCAGGGGCCCCAATACTGGTGGCCTCCGAGCACCTTCCAGACACCGAGGAGGCACCTCCCCGCCCCTCCTCCGCCCCTCAGGACCTCCGGGGACCAGCCACCGTCCCCGGAGGCCAGGCCGGGCAGCGGCCCGCTCCCTTCCCTTCCGGCTGCTCCGTGGGGCGCAGTGGCCGGCACCCCCACGGAGGCCCCACTCTCCCCACCCAACCCAAGCGACAGGGACAGATTAAAACAAAAACTGATTCGGGACGATAAATGGCGGAGAGCAGGACGGCGGCTTGGCCGCAGAGGTGGTGGTGGTGGCTTCGTGCGTCATTACTTTGTCACTGCTCCCCTGTTACGGGGGACGGGAGTAAGATTAAGTTGATATGTGCGCGCATAAAAAGCTAAGGAGGGATAAAAAAAAAAAAAAAAGGAAAAAAGCCCCAGGAGAAACCAATTAAAGGGGGGTAATAGATCAATTGGCGTCAATTTGGGCTCCTAATTCAATCCGTAATTCTGCAAATCTCCTTGTCACTCCTGACTCGCTTCTCCAACCCCTGCAGGACCACCTCCTGCTCCGAAGCACCCCCCACCCAGCCCCCACTGCCCCCCACCCGCCCCTCCAACCGCCAGACTTCCCACACTCCCCACCATCGTTGCCGGCCTCCTGGGAGCTCCCATTTCTGAGAGGCCCCCATTTCTGAGAGGCCCCCAGACGGCCGGCAAGGATGGTCCCTAGGTGTGCTGGGGGTCCCTAGGTCTTTCTCACGGAGCACACCCAGGGGGTCAGGCTACTTTGTAGGGCACGTCTTGCTCCGGCTGAGGCCACTCCAGTCCGACCAAACCCGTTCCTTGCTCCACACGATGGTAGGGGGCATGGATGCTAGTGGGGCCTAGGGGCTTCGGGGCTCACACCACGGGGGTCGTGGGGAAAGGCACCTCCCTCCTCTCAGACAGAGGGGTCGCCCACCTAGGCCTGGGACACACCCTCTCCCACCCAAGGATCGCATCCCAGGGATCCAGAGGGGAGAGCAGTACATGAAAACCTCATCGCCAATCAGCTTCCTGGAGAAGGGGCAATAGAAAGCGGTCTGATCTGCACCGTGCTGGGTTCACCCGTCTGTGTGCGCGTGTGTGCATGTGAGGGCGTGTGGGTGCATGTGCGTGAGGGGGTGTGAGCGCATGTGCGTGAGGGGTTTGCATGAGAGTATATATGTTCATGTGTGTGTGTGTGCGTGTGTGAGTGTGCATGGGTGTGCATGTGTGTGCGTGTGTGAGGGGGTGTATGCATGCATATAGGGAGTGTCTGCAGGGATGGATGTGGGTATGCCTGTTTTTTAGAGTGGGGATCGAGATGTAAGAATTTGGGGTGTATGGGGTCTGTGCCAATTAAAGTTTATTTTCACAAATTTTGGTTTTCATGTTCTGTTCTCCCCTCGTTCTGTCTCAGTGGGAACCCCCAACTAGCTCCATGGTGATTTTCGAGGATGGGAAGCAGAGCAAAGAACGAGGCTGGGGCTGTGCTGTTGTAGGGCGGCCAGAGTTGTCCCTGAAGGGGGCCGGAGCTGGCTGTAAAGTAATGACGTGCCGAAACTGCAGATCTGGGGTCCCTTCCTTTCTCCTGGATGGTCAGGGGCCCGAGCCGCGGCCAATCTGACTCGAGGTCCCCGGGAAAGAGATGGAAGGGGGGGGGTGCCTAATTCTTTCATTATGCCAATTATTTTTAAGCCAATTTGGTTTTAGTATTTTTTTTTTTTAGCCAATTGATATGTTTAGGGTGTTTTTTTTTTTTTAAGCCAAATTACTGCTCTGGTGTTTTCTAAAAAGCAAATTTGTTTTAAGGGGACTGATGTGCATGCATGTGTGTCATTTGGGGGTTCATAGTTTTAGGTTTTTGTTGTGTAATTTGGGGATAATTTGGGGGGTAGTTTCGGGGGGATATTTAAAGCCAATTGAGTTTGTACATTTTTAGAGATGTTACTAGGATCCCCCTCGGCCCGATGGCGAGGGCCAAGGAGAAAAGAGCCTGACATGGGGAGGTTGGGGCATGGGGGCTGGGGGTGGGGGAGCCCGCAGAGGGAAAATGGTACCGAGAGATGTCAGAGACGGGACCCGATGGAACAGTCCCCGGTCAGGAGGAGAGCACCAGGTGGTCGGTGCCGTTCTGCAGAATTACGACGGTTTGGCTCACTTCTGATTGGCGGACGCCTCCGCAGAGGCGCCCCCGTGGGCGGCGGGGTCGTGGGTGGGCAGGACGATCAGGGGACGGTGACGCTTGGCCTCTCTGAACGCCTCGAGCTCCTTGGCGAGCACGCGACCCCGGCGGGCGCGCAGGAGGGCGGGCAGGCCCCTGCGCAGGCGCTGGGCCGACTGCTTCCAGCTGTCATATTGGAAGAACTTGCCCACGGGGTATCTGGGGAAGTTGTCCTGGGGGGGGGGAGCAGCCAGTCAAGGGGGGATCGCTCCTGGCTCTTGCCCCCAGCCGCCCTGCACCCGCACCCCCCCTCGTGGACCTGTCAGTGGCCTCACCCCGGGGTGGGGTGGGCTTGCTATCCCACCTGCCCACGGGGAACTGCTGGACGCCGCTCTGGGCCAGGGTCCTTGGCGTGGGGGGGTCCACGGCAGTCCGCAAGCCCAGGAGCTGGCTGAGCCCTGGTCCCCCCCCTCCCCCCCGACTCTGAGAGCTGGCTCCCCACCCCCCAGCAGCGGCCCAGGGCTGGCTTACCGGAAGCACGGTCGGAGGGGTCGACACGTCCCTCTCGGACTTGGCGGGGGCGGCGCAGTAGGTCTCCAGAAGGGCCAGGTCACAGCTGCGGAAGCAACACTCTTCCACGATGCCACGGCTGCTGCGGCGGTTCACGCGGCTCGCCGGCCTGCCTGGAAGTCCCACAGGGGGAACGAGAGCCGCACTTGAGCACCAGAGCGGCCGCGGGGGGGCCCGTGCAGGCAGGGTGCGAGCAAGGGCAGGACACAGGAGGGGTGCCAGCACCCTGGCCTCGCGGCGCCTCCCTCTTCGCGGGGACAGTGGGCACGGCCTCCAGGGTCCACTGCCCAGGGAGGTGGGGAAGGTGCGCAGGCGTGAGCCCGCCAAGGCCCCAGCCCCCCATGATGCGGGGCGCAGGGTCCTGTCTTGAAGGCCACGCTGGGACGCAAGTGCCATCCCTGAACAGGGCAGGACCCTGGGCGGCCGTAGCCCTCGAGTCGCCGAGGCAGGCATGGGAGAAGAAGGGGAAGACGGGAGGGGAGGAGTGAGGACCTGCATGAAACCACGCCCCCCTTTCCTCCCGTCGTCCCCGCCCCTCCGCTGCTTGGGCTCCAAGGTCAGCTGCAAGGAAAAGTCCGGGCCCTCGCCTTGGGGTGGGGGGTGGGGCGAGGACGGGCGCCAGTGGGGAGGAGGTCCCACGGGTGGGGGGGTGGTCCCAGCCCTCCTTGCAGGGGACTCGCTCCCTGGGCACCAGACCCTACACAGTGCCACTTCCTGCCCCCAAACGAGGCCGTGAGAGGGACAGAGAGAGGGGACAGCGAGGCCAGGGTGGACTGGGCTTCCAAAGCCTGGAGAAGCAGGACTGGTTTTCAAAGAGAGGCTTTAGAGACCAAGGCTGCGGAGGGGGGTGGCCCACGGGCGCCAGGGCAGGGGTGGAGGCACTCAGCACCTTTCCTCCCCCCCCCCCACCCCGTCTGGGCCCCTGCTGGGAACAGAGGCGCCCCACCTTCAGGGTCCGCCTGGGCCCGCTCCCCCATGCCTCCCATTATCCAGATAAATGCTCCCCTCCCCATCCTGTAGGTAAGGAAACCGAGGCCCAGCTTTCTGGGAGGTGAGGGCAAGAGCCTGCGCCCTTGAGGAAGAGGTCTCCTCCAGCTGGGGGCCCACACAGGGCGGGGGGCAAGCCCAGTTCTCAGGAAAACCCAGCCCCAGGATGGACATGGAGAGAGAGAAGCGCAAGAAGCAGCCAAAGCCCACGTTGCGGCCCACCCCTCAGGCGTGCACCACGTCCCCAGTACTGTCCTGTGGGCAGGGCCTCATCGCTTCTCCTGAAAGCCCGGGCGGGGGCTCGGCACCGCCAGCACATGGGGCAGGCAACACACGCGTTTGTATCTAGGGGTCTCCGGTCCATTCTATCAAACGTTAAGTCACATAATCCACAAATACCTGCTCACCCCCCCCCCAATGTGTGGGAAACTTCTGTACCCACAGCCCCCCAAGAGCAGGTCAGGAAGTCGCAGGGAGGCGGGGCCCGCCTCCAGCCCGCCCTGCACACCACCACGCCTGCTATGATCTCTCCTGGAAAGAGAGCACTCTACTTTTCCCGTGTTGCAAGAAGGTCGGGGTGTGAGTGCCCCCCACGCACACTGCACGTGCCCAATAAACGTGGCCTTCAGTGCCCACCGTGCTCATGAAGTCTCGGTAGCTCCCCTCTGCCTGGCCACCCACGCCAGGGATCCCGGAGGGTGTCCATGGGCGTCTGAGAACTGGTACGGAGGACTCCAGCATTTATGGAGCACCTGCTGGGTGCGCCCTCCCCCTCCCCCCCACCCCCCGCCCCGGTGCCGACGCACTGAGCTACTTACTGAAGTAAAAGCCGCGGTCCCCACAGACAAACTGGAGGGTGTCCACCAGCTCCCCGCCGCACAGAGTCTCACTGGGGCGGTAAGCAGCAAAGCAGCACGAGGCCAAGGCCAAGAAGGTGAGCAGCACCAGCATCGACTTCCCCATCGGGACCCCCATCGGCATCTAGGGGCGGAGACAGGAGGCCATGAGCCAAGTCCAGGGCCAGGGGCCACGCCCGCCGCCCGCCAGGCCGGGGCCTCCCTGAGACACCAGCCCAGCCATCTCCCAATTCCAAGTTCAGCTGCCGCTTTAGAGCATGATCTCCTCCTAAACATGACCGTTTTAACCTCAGAAAGGACGTGTGCTCCGCCGCCCAGGCCGGGCGCGGACCCCCAGGTCTGAGTGGATGTGTGCGAAGCACGACTTTGATTGGCACCAAGGGCCGGTCAGCAATTTCACAAGGGGATGACCATCCCCAGCGTCACCACCACAGGGGCTCAGCCACACCCGGAGCTGCAGGGGCCAGAGCTGGACACTGAACCTGGCCTCTGTCCTATGAAGTCATGGGGGCGGGACCAGCACAGGGCAGCGGCCACTCCTCAGGCCTCCCCACATCAGCCAAGATGGCAGACAGCCCCACCCTACCACGGAGCATCCCAGAGGACCTGCCCCCCCCAAGCAGCAGGGGTCCTGCCGGCCGACCCACCCCTTCCCCCTCCCCCACTGCCTCTTCCACCCTCTCGGCCACCCCCCGCCCCCCGCTGAGCGAAGCTCAGGTCAAGGATCCAGTGGTGAGTGCACGGTGCCAACCACACTCCCGTGGGCCTGGTTCTGAATCGCCCAGTCCCCCACTCCAGCCTGACCTGGGTACCCCAAAACACAAAGAGGCCGAAAGCCTCCTTTCCAAGCCTGGCATCACACCCACGCTCCAGGGCCAGGCACCTCAAGGTCCCTTGAGGATCATGAGACCCTCTCCCCACTGAGGTACCAAACCCCACCCTTGGAGCTGGAGAGAACAAGTCAGGCCAGCTGGAGGCTGGACGCCAGGTCCTTGGGCCCCAGTCCCCGAAACAGAAGCTGGTCTCAGGACACACCCCCTGCACAGGCTGTGAGGCTGCAGGCCCCAGAGCAAGGGTTAGCCAGGCCCCTTAAGGGTGGGGGGCTTCGGAGGAAGCCTCGGGTCTTCGTGTAGACACGGCAAGCTGCCCCTGCCCCTCCAGAAAGTGGAAGTCCCCCCCCCACCAGGCAGGTAGCCGCAGGCCGCCCTCCGCAGGCCCAGGTACAGGCCCCTTCTGGGGCCACAGTCCCGGCCTGGCGCCTCCAAGCCCAGTGGCACCCTGATGCTACCCAAGCCAGGGGCTGGGCAGCCTGCCCGGATGTGCCCCTCCCAGGCTCCACAGCCAGTGGGCCCGGGGGGCACCAAGCGGCATGCCCCTTCCCTTCCCTTCCCGGCCTGGAGCGGGGCCGCCGCGCACTAGGCCCAGGGAGTTTCTGATGCCATAAATCGTGCAGGAGAGGAGGGGAAGCAAGAAGGGAGCACAGTCCGGCAGGAGCTCGGCCACAGAGCAGAGGCCAGCTCCACGGGAGGATGTGAAGTGCCAGCCGCTCACCTCCTCCCACCTTGGACTGGGCCCCAGCCCGTCTCCCAGGCTGCTCCCGCGGCCGCCCCCTTCCAAATTCTAAGAACAGTCTGGCCAGCTAGTGGCTGCACCCTTCGGCGGGCCGGCCGCTCTAGCGTGGGGTCCCGTCCCAGCACCAGCAGAGGGCAGAGGCCGGGTGAGAGGCACGCGCTGGAGCGGGCCAGGTGAGCCAGCAGCGGAGGAGGGAGGGCAGGGGTGAGGAGGGCAGAGGCGGAGAGGAGGGGCCGCGGGGCTGAGGCCGAGGCCATCCCCGGGGAGGCAGGGCAGGCCGGAGCGAGCGGGCAGCGGGGTCCTCGCTCAACAGCCCTGGTTACCTGCAGGGGACAGGAGCTCGCTGGCGCTGGAGGAGGAGGCGGCGGCTGGAAGGCTGCCTCCCGGGAGAAGCTAATGTCCAGTTTGCAGGCTGGTCAGTGCTTCAGCTTTTATGTCTGAGCCGGCTCCTCCCAGCCCCGGCTCCACCCTACCCCCCACCCCTCTCCCCGCTGACCACTCCCCCCGCCCCCTTCGCTCCCGCCCCTCCCTCTCCCCAGCCAGTCCCTTCTCTCCTGCACCCCCAACAACTTGCTCTGGACCATCCCTTAGCAGAGCACCGGGGGGTGGGGGGGCTCATCCTGCACCCCCAGCCCTTCTAGGCACAGGGCGGTGGGGGGAAGGGGGGAGGGGGCCGCCCTACACCTCCTTGTATGGAAAGTTCCATCTACCCCACTGGGCAGGGGCAGTTAGCCTCTACGGGCTGTACGCTCCTGCCCTTCTGAGCCTCCGACCAGCCCCTCTTCCCAGATTCCTGGGTGGAAATGTTGGGGACAGGGGAAGGGAGGGGGCTGTGTGTGTGCGCGCAGGGGGGGGGTCAACTGCAAATGTGGCGCCTGCTAGGAGCCTTCTGCCAACTCGCCCCCTCTTCCATCCTGGCCCCGCCCACCCCGTTTTCCTCCTTCGCTCTTGCTGGCGCGGAGTCAACATACCAGGGTGGGTTTCTGCGCCTTGCGCCCCTCCTCGTTACCCAACACCCTGGGGGACAGGGCCCCCCCCCCCGCCACGCACAAATCACAGACTTGCAGCAACACCCCGCTGCACCCACAAACCGACCAGGAAGTCGCCTCTGCAGACAGCTCGCACCTCCCCGGGCGCTCCCGAAGCCCCTCGCCAGCAGCCCCCTCCCCGCGGCGCCGGGGAGAGCGCGGGCCTCGCCGCGGGGAGCCGGCCCGAGGCCCCCGGCCGCGCGCCCCCCGGCCCCGCGCCCCCGGCCCGCGCCCGCCCGCCCCGCCGCGCCGCTTACCTGGGAGCCGGCGCAGCTGCCGCCCACCTCCCTGCTGCGAATCGCAAACCGAACAGCGGGCGTGGGCCCTCCTGCCGGACACTCCTCTGCCAGCGCCGCTCTGGCCGGGTCGCGGGGGCCGAATGTGCGACGGGGCAGAACGGGGGGATGGCTTTTTTTTGGGGGGGGACTCTTCTGATCCTCTGGGGAGGGCGGGCTGTCTGCGGGCTGGGGCGGGCCAGATGTTGTACTTTTAGGGGGGGAAAGGGTATCGGGAAATGAGGTCAGCTGTTGTATCAAGGATAGAGGGGGGCAGAGACAGTGAGAGACACAGAGAGAACGTGAAACGGGGGGGGCCAGAGAGAGGGCGAGAGGGAGAGGGGACAGCGAGAGGCGGGCAGGCTCGCAGCGGGGGAGAACAGCGCGGAGAGAAACAGAAAGCGTATAATTAATCCACTTCGGGACGGCGAGGCGAGAGGGCGGGCGTGGAGGGGGAGGCGTCGGAGGCGCGGGGCCGGGGGGGGGGCGGGAGGGAGCGCAGGGCAGGCTGCGGGGGAGAGCGTTGCGCGGGGGCCGGGGCGAGAGGCCGGAGAGGGGGTCGGGGAGCCGAGAGAAGCGCGGGCAGGACGCCACGTCGAGGGCCGGGGACGGTGCGGAGGGGGGCGGCGCGGGAGGGCGCCCGGGCCGCGGGCGCCCAGCTCGGATTGGGCCGACGGGGCCCTCGGCCGTCGCGAGCCCGGGCCCGGGGGGGGGGGGGGGGGGGCCGCGCGCCGGGGAGGGCCGGGGGGCAGCGCGGGGGGTGACAACGCCGGCGGCCTGCGAGCCGGACTGCC